TCTTTTTTTTTTCCTTTTTACATATGGCAGGGCATTCTATCGGGTTACTCTGAGGTCCTAGAGACCTGGTTGCCACACTCCCTTCTAAGCGACTGCCTATCTCCACTCTGAACATCACAGACTTGTTTTATAAGTCATTCCCAAAGGGCAACTTTATTGTCTTGAGGAACTGCTGTCCCCTTGTATCTTCTCCAGATGTCAGGCTCAAGTATCACGCAGATCACCTGGCATGTAACCCACCTATTAGTGAGCCATTAATGAACGTTCTACTTACATGTCAGACTCAACTCTGTCCATGTGTCACCATCATGGGATCACCTCTTCTCCTGGCTCTTACTAGAAGCCATACGGCTTTTCTGCGTGCCTAACTGTACCTCCAGCTCGGGTCTCAGAACCACAGGAGCATCAACAGCCACACAAAAATACCATTCAGACATTAATATGCATCCTACCTGGATACACATCTGCTATTACACTCACATACACACTCACTTGCTCACTCACCCCCCGAGGCAGCACATATCCACTAGCATGTGAGCATGACAAACTGCAGCCAATGTTTCTGGTTCCATGGCTTCCATGGTGATCCATGTGATCACCAATCTGTGGGCCAAGACAATGCTGTGATAGTTCTGACATTAGTCAACATGTGATAGGTTGCAGGGGGAGTGGCAGAGCTAACCCTTTGGATTTTGAAAACTGGCCCCCTGCTCTGAGTGCTATTCCTGGAATTCTGGCACCTGCCCCAAGAAACCAAATGGTACCTTAGGCTCAAGTGTACTTTCTATATGAGAAGGAATTTGGCAGGTCCAGGTCCTAGGCTTTGTTTCTTGAATGAATGAATGAATGAATGAATGAATGAATGAATGAATACCTTTACAAAAGACTCTGTTGTGACCAAACCTAATTACAAACACAAGAATAGGCAATTTTTGAAATTAATCCAATACTGGAGCACAGACTAGTATTTCTCTCCCATGAAACCTCAGCAATTATTATGCATCTTAGTGGAGCCTGGGTTTTTCTTCCCTGCAAGTCAGACCCCTCCAGGGCTGACTTGTTCAATACGGCTTTGAGCACCCGAGGCTTCAGCAGGGAAGCCCTCCCAGTATAGCCTGCTTTCCGTCTCCCCCATCCTCTCCTTGGTCAAAAATCTTTAATTAGCTGGTTACCCTAATTACTCTAGCTGGGGACCTTGTTTGTTCTCCTTCCCTGCTATTCCCAGGGATCTGAAGGCTCTATCGCTTCTGTGCCAGAGGGTCCTTTCTATCACAGTTTCTCTCTGTCTTTTTGTTTTTTTCCTTTCATGATCAGAACAAAAACAAAAAAGCCCAGGGAAAGAAATCATCTCTCCTTCTGTGTCTGGGTAAGACCCCATAACCATCATTTCCCAATCAGGAACAAGTTTCCATGACAACCACGCTTCCCAATGCCACCACTAACTTAGCAGGTAGTGTTCACATCAAATACAGAGTTCTTTACCAACCTCCATGGTTTCCGTACAAGACTCTAAGATACCAGCTGTTTGCATGAACTGTATCTTAAAAGAGTTTTGTTCTCTGCCCTTCGAAACATCAGAAAGACAAAAAAAAAAAATTGCTTGGTATTTTCTTTACTTGTAATCATTAAAAAGCATGCCAGTTTTTTAAAAGTATAGTGGAGGGATGGACATGAAAGAGAGTGTGAGATTCAGTGGAAGGAAGTATGAATGGACGAATGGAGAATCACTGGGATGTGAGAGACGCCATGGTCAGTGGCATAAACTTGATGCTGAGAGTCAATGAGGTTGGAATTCCTTATATATGTGACCTTGGGGAAGTTCCTCTTCCTCTCTAAGCCTCCACATTCCCTCTGTAAAGGACAGAAACTGAGACATTTCACAGAATTCTTTGGAAGATTAGATGGAAAAAAAGCAAAGAAGCAAAACGTGCTTCTTACAGTGTCTGACACATAGTAGGAGTTCAACAAAGGGAAATTAGCATACTGTTCTTATTAACATAGAGAGGTGAATCGGAACAAGTCTGAGCAAACAAGTAACCAAGTATTCTAATTGATTATTAACATTTTGCTGGTAGAGAATAACAGTACAAGCAGCAGATATTTGGAGGTTTTCTTAGCAACCTTTCCTCTTGGGCTATTAAGTCAGGTCTGCAATTACGGGAAGGAATCTATTCATTTCCATTCCTGAGACTTAAGAGGATACACCTGGGCAATCTCCAGGGTTCATCTGAATCTATTTATAGCTCTGCATAAGCATTTGTTTAATTTCAAAACAGATGCAAAGAAAAACTTGGATTAACCATTAAAGTATTTGTTCAATATTCCACATTCTCAACACCAATGAGTATATTTTAGTTCTTCTGTAAAGGAAAACAAGAATATATATGTTTTTATGATATTTTCAATATTGCATGGCTCAAATTTCATTTCAAAATCAGAATTCATATTGTAGCAAACAAACCATCATGCTCATTATTGAACAAACTCCCATACTCCAACTCCTCCCCCAGCTGCATTCACGGTGCCTCAGGGAGCTGAGAGGGCCTTCCACAAGTAACACCAATTCAACCCTTTATTTTTAAAAGATAAAATTATTTATGTATTTTTAAAATCCCATTTTTGTCACTATGGTGGACTATATATCTAGATAATAAACCCTCCCTATTAAGAACTCTTAAGAGGGGCGCCAGGGTGGCTCAGTCAGTTAAACATCCAACTCTTGATTTTGGCTCAGGTCATGATCTCAGGGTCCTGAGATCGAGCTCTGCATTGGGCTCCGTGCTTAGCAGGGAGTCTGCTTGAGATTCTCTCTCCCTCTCCCTCTGCCCCTCCCCCTACTCATGCTCACTTGCTCTCTAAAATAAATAAATAAATCTAAAGAAAAGAACTCAAGATATTGAATAAAATATTTTTTAAATGTGTTTTACAGTATGGATGTTCCTCAAAACATTAAAAATAAAACTATTCTATGATCCAGTAATCTCTCTTCTGGATATATATCCTAATGAAATGAAATCAGTAACTCAAAGAGAAAACTATGCTCCCATGTTCACCTCAGCATTATCCACAATAGCAATGGCTTGGAAACAACTGAAGTGTCCATCAGCAGAAGAATGGATAAAGGTATCATGGTATATATATATAACACAATCTTATTCAGCCTTACACATGAAGACAATTCTGCCACTTGCTGTTGGATGGATGAGGCTGGAAGAAATTATGCTAAGTGAAATTAATCCAGACACAGAAAAATATGTATACTGCATGTTCTCACTTGTATGTGGAATCTGAAAGAATCACACTCAGAGAACAGAGAGTAGAATGGTGGTTACCAAGGGCCGGAGTAGAAGGAAGCAGGGAACTGTTGGTCAAAAGATACAAACTTTCTGTTATGGAGGATGAATTAGTTCTAGAGAGCTAATGTACAGCACGGTGATGGTAGTTAATAATACTGTATTGTTCTCTTGAAATCTGCTAAGAGAGTAGATCACAGGCACTCTTGCCACAAAAAAAAAAAAGTATGTGAGGAGATGGGTATGTTAATTAGCTTGACTATTTGTAATCATTTCACTCTGTATATCAAAACATCACATCATACACCTTCAATATATACCATTCTTATTTGAAAAATGAAAAAAAAAAGTATTTAAAAGAGAAAACACTATGTTTTAAGTACTATGTGAGCTGGCAGAGAAGTAAAGGAAATCCTTGAAGCCAGAACAAAAAACAGATCCAGAAGGGTTGTCTGGTATCTGAGCTAGAATTTGCCACGGGGGCATCTCCCTATCCTGGTAGCCAAATATGTTTCTGTAAAGGGCTAACTCATAAATGTTTTAAGTTTTGCAGGCCATACCATCTCTGTCATATCCACTCAACTGTGCCATTGTGCCATGAAAGCATTCACAGATAATATATAAATAAATGGGTATGGCTGGGTTTCTATAAGACTTTATTTATATAACCTGGCAGTGGGTAGGATTTAGCCTGCAAGCCACAGTTTGCCAATCCCTTCATTATAGACTAGATTTGAATGTCTTACCCACAGAGAAACAATTACAGTGTGTGACGTTTTTCCCATATAGTAGACCACTGCGGTCTTTACATCCCTCTGTATACCTGTCTTTGGGGGATCCCTCCTGCATTGACTCTGGGCTAGACCATGTGACTTGCTTTGGCCTGTGGGACACTAGTAAATGTGATATAAACAGAAACTTGAAAAGTGCTAGCAGAATGGGGCTTATCCTCTCTTGCTACTCCTGGGATCTCTGCACCCACCACCATGTGAATTTGCCCAGGCTGGTGTGCTGAAGACATGGTGCATCATTCCCCCTACCCCAGCCAACAAAAAGGGACAGCCAGCACCAAATGCAGACCTGTGAGTGAAGTCATCCTAGACCAACTAGTCCCCAGGCAGCCTACCAGTTGACTGGAGTAACATGAGTGAGCCCAGACGAGACCAGCAGAAGAACCACCAGGATGAGAGCAGTCCAAATTGCTGACCCACGTAATCATAAGCTAATGAGTGATTGCTTTAGAATTAAATTTTGCAGTGATTATTCTGCAACAAAAGCTAAATGATACATTCCACAGGAAATCTATTATCTTCTAAAAATACAAAGTGAGAGGGGGAGCCTGGGTGGCTCAGTCGATTGAGTGTCTGACTCTTGGTTTTGTCTCAGACCATGATCTCAGGTTCATGGGATCAAGCCCCGTGTCAAGGTCTGCACCTCAGCCAGGAGTCTGCTTGAGATTCTCTCCCTCTCCCTCTGCCCCTCCCGCTGCTTGCACATGCATGCACTCTCTCTGAAATAAATAAATCTTTAAAAAAATAAAATAAAAACATAAAGTGAGAGATCGACAAGTATACTTATAGAAATGGGAAAGAAAAGACTAAGGCAACACAAAAAATTATATTTGCATTTTAAAGATCCCGTCACCTGCCAGCAGAGACAAGCCCTTTGTTGCTCCTTATAATCGAAATTGGAGCAAATTCTTCCTACCTGAACAGACTTCTTTATAAGTAGGATTGGGAGTGTAGCCTCCTGCATAACCAACTTGAGTTGAATATACTCCTTTCATGGTCCAGAATTTCCTCTCAGCTCCCCAGAAACAGCCCATTCCTAAGAAAAACATAAGACACTGATTAATCCTTTGTCAAAAGCAATCATTGCATACTAGAAGCCCCGTTTTAATAGAAAAGAGAAGTTATTCGTGTCATTTGGTAATCAAAAATCACTAAGATTTATCCTTTGAAGAAGGACAGTTTCATGGAGGCAACCTAAGTGTCCATCAATAGATGATGGATAAGGAAGATGTGGTACACAGACACACACAAACACACACATGCACATGCACACACACACACACTGGAATATCATGCAACCACAAAAAAGGATGAGATCATGCCATGTGAGACAAAATGAATGTACCTAGGGGGTATTATGCTACGTGAAGTAAGTCAGACTCAGAAAGACTAACACCATGTGATTTCACTCATAAGTTGAATCAAAAAACTAATAACAACAACAAGAAATGAACAAACAACAAAAAGCAGAATCAGACCTATAAATTCAGAGAACTAATGGTTGCCAGGGAGAAGTAGTCAGAGGATGGGCAAAATAGGTGAGAGAGAGTAGGAGTTACAGGCTTCCAGTTATGGAATGAGTAAGTCACAGGAATAAAAGGCACAGCATAAGGAATAAAGGCAATGATACCGTAATAGCGTTGTATCTGAACAGATGGTAGCTACACTTATGTTGAACAGCATAATGCATAAACCTGTTGAACCACTATGCTGTACACCTAAGACTAATGTAACATTGTGTGTCAACTATACTCAAATTAAAAAGAAACATGTTAAAAATCAAGAAGAAAAGAATTAATTTAGAAGAATTTTTAACACCTCAAATAATTTTATTTAAGGTTCTTTGCACAGACTGTATCTTTGCTTTAGTTGTGCAAAAACTTAGCCTCAAATTTTAATGAAGTTAGTAAAGTATACGTTTCCAAATAACACAGTAAAAAGATAATTGCATTTGATGAATGATTTCAACACTCAATTCATTATGGACTTGTTAAAACATAATAACTTGCATTAAAAGCATAAATTTATTTAATGATCAGCATCCTGGTCATGCTTTTGAAAAAAATTCCAACAAAGAAAGGTAACACTAACTTACTGACTTAAATGGGAAAACATCCCAAAATCAACACAGATTGATGCAGTTTTCAATTAACAATTTCACATAATGTGTTCAGTTTCTTCAAAAATGTTTAAGTCATTATAAACTTTGATGTGATAAATCACTGCTCACCAAAGGGTGAGTTCTATTACTAAATATAATGACTGAGGAAACAGAGAAGGGGGAAGGCAGAGAAAGAGACAACAATAAATACACAAAGGAACTCACAAAAATAGCATTCCATCCAACTAGCAAACATTATGCTCATATCAGTAGTTATTGGATTCTTTTGGAACGTATGGTGAGAACCAAGACCTAGCTCCCAAAAATGCACATACTTACATACTTCAAAAATGTAGCATTACATCTTCTTGGGCTCCAAATAAAGAACCCTAGCTTTCTACCAGGAGTTTCTAAACTGTCCACAATTGCTATTCTGTGACCAATTTCTAGATGTAAGTAAGATTACTGCCTTGCTCAAGTTTTATACAGCTTTATTAAGTCATATATAATTAAGATCTTGGGAAGAACAACAGTTGGCAAATTAATATATGCCTCCTACTTCTACAATCACTGGATTTGTTAGACTTGATGACAGAACTGAAAGAAAAATTAGATGGAAGTTTATTGAAATTCTTGACACTTGTTAATATTCTAAAATTCAGAACAGTAATAACCAGGATGTAATGTGCATAATGATATACATTATACAAAAATATATTTGCTCAAGTGTGAGGGAAAATATATTGACCAAAAACAGATTAACAGTTAAAAAATAGGATAGAGCCATATGACAAAAATTCATGTAGTAAAAAAATTACTGTTGTGATAACAATGCAACATGGAAATATGTATATGATTATATCATATTAACCAAGGCTAAATTTAAAAGGAAAAAAACACAAGTATATGCATGTTCTTATTAAAACTATGAAAAAAATATCCATCCCAAAACAGATGAGAAGGAAATATACAAAGTTATAACTATGATTGTTTTATAGTGGTGAGAATACAGGAATTTTTTCATTTTTCAAGTGTGTCTGTAATAGATTCATATTACCTTAAAAATAAAAAATGTATATTTTTAAAAAAAGAAAAAAGTCAAAGAAAAACATAACCATATGCATTGTTTGAGTTACAAGTGCAAGATACCATTCTTCCTGTTTACAAGTGAGCTGTTTGCTGCTAGTGAATATAGCTAAATATTTACTGAGTATTTATAAAAATGTACTATCCTCAAATCTCTGGAACAAGAATTCGCTATTAATTTTACTTCATTGCATTTCTGGGATCAGGGAATTGTATTAGTCAAGGTTTTCCAGAGAAACAGACCAACAGGATATATAGAGAGAAATTTATTAGGAGGATTAGCTCCTGCAGTTGTAGAAGCTGAGAAGTCTATGATGGTCTGCAAGCCAGGGACCCAGGAAAGCTGGTACTATAATCCCGGTCCAAACTCAAAGGCCTGAGAACCAGGGGAGCCCGTGATGTAAGTCCCTATCCAAGTCTGAAGGCTGCATAGTCAGCATCACTGATGTACAAGGGCAGGAAAAGATGGATGTCCCAGCTCAAAGAGTAAATTCACCCTTCTGGCATTTCATTCTATCTGGATCCTTGACAGACTGGAGGATGCCCATCGACATTGGTGAGGGTGATCTTTCCTCAATCTACCAATTCAAATGCTGATCTCTTTCCAAAACATCCTCACAGACACATCTGGAAATGGCTATCTGGGCATCCCTCAGCCACGTCAAGTTGACACATAAAATAAACCACTGCAGGAATGATGACAGTGAATCTCTGGAGAAGGATAAGTAAAAAGTGAGGTGGGCAGCATTACTCAGCATAAAAGGCCACAAACAGCACCCAGGAGTTGTGCAGTGTCATCAACTGAAGGCATTCTAGCCCCTGACATTCAGAAGTCTGTGAGGTTCACTGAATAAAATACTTCTTTCCCGCACAACTAACATTGATGATACCAAAGGGTACTTCAAGCTTTCAGCATTCTATGTACAAGGTACAAGATGGGCCATTTTAGCAGCCAGCCTAACCTGACCATTGTCTCCAGTCTCACCCTGATGGCCCCAGACTTTATATCTTCACTATAGCCTCATGCTATATAGAGTTATAACACTTAAAATGGATCTTGGCTAGACCAAACAAAATATTTGCTGCAAGTTATTTAATCCCCTTTTGATGTATTAAACATCAAGGAGTTGAGGATCAAGAAAAGACCCCTGTTAGAGGGAGGATGACCCCGCTCCAGCTGGGCACAGGCCTCCAGGGGAGGTCATGCGTGGCTGAAAATTATGCTTTGGGGACCTGGTGTGTAATCAATGTCAAAATTTCTGGAGAGGTACTTAACTTGGAATAAGGGTTGTTGTAAGAATAAAACTCCTCCTTGAAGCAATCAGATGTTTCATCTAGTGGCTTCCAGTATAACCTAAGCATTCTATTATTTGATTTTGAGTGTGTGTGTGTGTGTGTGTGCACGCGCGCGCACGCGTATGTGCTTAAACAAAGAAAACAAATTTATGACAGAATTTCTCAGAACTTACAACAATCTAGTAAAAAACATAAACATCATCAAATATATATATTAAAAAAGATATAGTAAGCATTATTATTTTAAGGTATTTTATATCTTGGGGGGCACCTGGGTGGCTCAGTTGGTTGACTGTCCGACTCTTGATTTCGGCTCAGGTCATGATCTCAGGGTCATGAGACTGAGCCCGACATCAGGCTCTGCACTGGGTGTGGAACCTGCTTGGGATTCTCTTTCTCCCTCTCCCCCTGCCCCAAGGTGCCCCCCTTTTTGCACACTGTCTCTCTAAAAAAGTTAAGTAAATAACTAATTAAATATTTTATATTTTTAACTGTTTATTATAAAGTAAAACACAGGTACAGAAAAGCCACACAGAACAGATGCATACCTCAATGCATTATTATTAGGCAAACATCCTTATAACTACCAGCCGGGTCAAGAAATGGAAATTTTCCATCCCCCTCAGAACTCCTCCTTGTATCACACCCCAATCACAACTCCCTTCCTCCCCTAAAAGTAACCACTCTCTGATCTTTACAGAAATCATTTCCTTCTGTCTCTTTATGTTTATCACTCGAGGTGTCCATCCTGATACTATTGTCCAGTTGTGCTCATTTTTTTTTAAATTTGATGTGGCCTAAGTTCTTTTTTTTTATTATGTTATGTTAATCACCATACATTACATCATTAGTTTTTGATGTAGTGTCCCATGATTCACTGTTTGTGCATAACACCCAATGCTCCATGCAGAACGTGCCCTCTTTAATACCCATCACCAGGCTAGCCCATCCCCCCCCCTCCCTTCTAGAACCCTCGGTTTGGTTCTCAGAGTCCATAGTCTCTCAGGGTTCATCTTCCCCTCCGATTTCCCCCCGCTTCATTCTTTCCCTCCTGCTATCTTCTTCTTTTTTTTTTTTTTTAACATATAATGTATTATTTGCTTCAGAGGTACAGATCTGTGATTCAACAGTCTTGCACAATTCACAGCGCTCACCATAGCACATACCCTCCCCAATGTCTATCACCCAGTCACCCCATCCCTCCCACCCCCCACCACTCCAGCAACCCTCAGTTTGTTTCCTGAGATTAAGAATTCCTCATATCAGTGAGGTCATATGATACATGTCTTTCTCTGATTGACTTATTTCGCTCAGCATAATACCCTCCAGTTCCATCCACGTTGTTGCAAATGGCAAGATTTCATTCTTTTTGACGGCTGCATAATATTCCATTGTATATATATACCACATCTTCTTTATCCATTCATCTGGCCTTAAGTTCTTTTAAGCAACAGGTTCCCTCTCCATTCTTTTCCTTGTGATTTATCCACTGAAGAAAACAAGAGTCACTGACCTGCAGAGCTTCCCACAATGTAGATTTTGCCAATTGCATT